CTCAATCCATAGTTTGTGGTGCCACGGATCCTGTTTCAGCAACGTGACTATAAACAACAGCAAAGGTTGGATGACTCGGTTGCCTTCGGTCTGGAAACGCAAGCTGATACAGCCGTGTAGCCTTGCGTCCATTATCATCCACGCGGCCGTATGTAAAAATCATATCTGCCTGCTCACGATATGAATATCCTGCCATTATTAAATGGAACACTTCTTAGATAACTCACTACTACACACGTTAAACGTTGAAGACACACTAGCCACAAATGTACACGAATGGCAAATGTAACCTAGTCCGGGTCGCAACACAGAACCATCTACCGTAAACTTTCTTTAAACTAAAGAATTTGCGGACATATGTTTATATGGATTTTGTCCTTTGTTTGAGGAAACTGCCTCAAAATTTATAAAAGTATTTTGATACACCATATATATATATATATATATATATATATATATATATATATATATATATGTGTGTGTGTGTGTGTTCATATTAATTCATCAAGACTAGAAAAATCATCAACAGAATGTAGAAAGCACTTGACGGCAATTTCGACCTTTCTGGGACTCCTCAGCAGTGGGTATCCACTACCAAGAATCGAACCCAGATCGTTACGATACAACGCAAGAGCCACAACTCTAGACCAACGTGACGAAGAAGAAACTCACTAGACTCAATATAGCGCAGCTACTCACTACAGTCCAGTAGTTATACTCATTCAAGTATATATAACCCAACCGATAGGGCCCCGGGAGCAACGTCTTCTTTCACCGAGCCACTCCCTAGAGAGCATTAGCAGCTGGATCAAGCAAAGATATATAAGTGATAGAAATTTTGGGGGATTTTATTAATCATTCATCGTAAAAAAAAATTCTATCACTTAGCTAACGGCCCTATAAGTTAGGTTATGTATACTTTGATGATTATCACTACCTGAATTTCTATATTCTTTTGAGGAAGAATTACTATGAATGATTATTCAAATCCCCCAAAATTTCTATCACTCTCATATATATATATATATATATATAGTATAGAGAGAGAGAGAGAGAGAGAGAGATACACACACACAAAAGAAGTCATGTCCAGAGAGTTGACATAGATTACGCCACGATGTGCTTAAACTGATGTGTATACTCGACAGTCAGGAATCAGCAAAAAACTTTGGGCCTGTTAAACTTTTGTGCAACCATACTAAATTATTTAATTGATTAATTTTGTTAATTCAACCAAATTGAGAATAATTAGCAGCATTCTTTTCTCAGTACATTTTTATGATCATTGTCGTTCAGAAAACAGGTTACTGCATTTTTTTGTTAATGCTGTACGGCAGATGGTTGTGAATGGTAAGAGTAGTAATGCTACGAAAACGCCATGAAAAATATTGAGCCACCAGCTAAAATTTAGACATGCAGCTCTTTTTTTTAAAGTTAAAAAGGAATAAGTGATCTTTATTATTACATAAAGTAAAAAAAAAATCAAAATATGGAGTTAGTTATGTAGTCGAATCGATTATATTCACTTACGTGCTAATACCCTTGGGAAACTAATGAATCCTCTATTTCTCCCTCCAGCTATGGGTAAATAGCAAAACGGACCGGGTTCTATAGCCTTGAATGGCAACTGGTCTACCGCAAAAAGAAATGGCAAACAAATGCGGGAAAAAAACTGCCTCATCAAACACGTATCGAAAGATACATGATCGGCTAAGCGTGTATCTAACTGACTGAATGGAGAATAGAACAGAGTTTGGGAGAAATAACACAAAAACAAAACTTATTAAAAGCTACAAAGTACAGGAGGATGTGGAGTACCATAATCGCTTACGCCCTGCAGGGACACATAACATAAAAGAAAGAAGAATTAGTTTTGCTGCATTTGGCTTGAAAAATTGCCTCATTTAGATGTAGTATTAAATGGTACAAGTCCACCAACTTTTTGCTCTTTCTTGTCTTGATGGGGTTTCCTCTATAACCTTTTGTTTATCGTAGTATAGTAATTTATCATTTTGATTTTTTTCATTAGTTTCTCATGAGATTTTGTATTTCTTGCTGCTGTTAAAAGACTTCCAGGGATGTGCTTTCTTTTATTTTGTAGAGTATGTAGGTCAGAAGATAAAAGGAAACACAATGACCAGAGAAACAGGGAAAAGAAACCAAATCAAAAATTCGTAAAATTAATAAACGGAAAACGAAATAAAGCTGGACGATTATCAGAAATCAGAATGGTGACTGGATTCGGCCTCCATTTTACCTCTGTTTAACCAGAGCAATGATTAATCTTGGCGTCACTTCTTCAACTACTGAACGATTACCAAGCTAGCCACTGTTACCGCAAAGAAAGCTCTCATTGAACCGTAAGATACACCACCCCCATCCATAGATATGTTTTAGCGTTCAACTTTCTCCTAGAGATAAATTTTAATTTGCAAAATGGTTTTCAAACCAGTGCTGAGAGTATGGGCGTATCATCCACGCCCCAACAATCAAGGTGGTTATATTCACCATCGACTGTCCGTCGTATTCGACGAAGACACGTATTTTTTTATGTTTCTCTCCTTTAAGAATCTTCACGATGGTGGTACACTGTTCCTCATAGATACCAGATATCTCCTCGTCAGCATGGGTCAGAGTACGAGTGCAAACCATCAAGGTATTGAGATTTCTCCCACTGGGGAGGCAGGGAGATATCAAAAGGTTCAGATATCGCAGTCGGAAAGGATAACATTTGTAGCGCCAAAATTGTCATCGCGCACCAAAAGCAGCACTAACTGCACCTGACCCCATCGAAAGTCGAAGCAGTACAATGGAGTCATTTACCAAATGCCCTGCGGTATCATCCTAACTGTACTAGGTATCGCCAACTTTTGGCTGTGTTGGACATCTCATCCGTCTGCCGAAGGGAATAGCGCTGACAGAACAGTCTGAAGCAGATAGCGCTCACATTTCACTGGGTCACTGCCACTGGCTTCACCGGATCCTTGTCATGTGTAAAATAGGGTTGATAAAACTTGCTCACGGTTTCGCCCCAACCTAGCGAAGGGAAGGAGTCGGTTTACTTCTCCATTGTTGAACTAAAAACAAAGATCGGTCTCATCCCGAAGTCAACTTGGTCATCATATTAGACTGTAGAATGGGTCCAAAACGTTTCTTTAGTTTGTTTAGCCAATGTAGTGAATTCCTCGGTGACACATGTCCATGCCACGACTTAACATTCAACAAAAGCCCTAACCAGACAGAAACTCCAAACATCACTCTAAATTAATACATCTTCTTATAGTCATTAATTATGTTATTAACTATGAAATTTAAC